AAAGTAGAATTTTAAAAGATTTTAAAGGTGGGGGAGGGAGCATAAAAAATAGTGGAGATGATACAATAAAATGGTGTTATGAGTCTATAGATTTTCGTTGGTTTGGGGGTTTTTTTCACATTTGGAACCGCTGCAACAGTCGTGTTGGAGACAGGAATCTGCCCATTCCAGGCAGACCTGGGATCTCAAATGGGAACATGAAATAACGAGGTGTTGGGGGGGGGAAATTACTAATTGGGAGGCTAAAACAATGGCTAAATAGGGCAGGTGGTTTTTCTGGTTACCTGCTTTGGGGTGTTTAAATTGGATTTTTAAGGCATTGTGGAGTCTTTGAACGCTTTCAGAACCAGGACTACTTTATAGGAAGGTGTAATTTAATGAGAAATTATCAACTTCTGCTTTAATTTTGGCTTCTAGGGACCAGATATCATCCATCAAGCTGTGAAACTAAAATCTCCTCCACTAAAAAAAATGTTTAGGTACTTAGTTTTTAGACTAATGTTTCATTGATATATCTCTACTTCTTCCATTGTATGCTGAGCATATAATAACCGTCTATTTTATGGTAACTTGTGCCTTTAAAACCTTTGTAAATCTAAACCCACGTTTTCAGAGGTTATTCATCTTTTTACCTTTTCTACGTTTCCTACTCTTTTTTCTAAAAAATATTTTTTTGCATATTTCCTTTTGGGGGGTCGCGGGGGTGGGGGAAAAAAAAAAAAAGACAAGGAAAGCTCATTTTTATGCAATCTATTTTTCTGTATAAAGTTTGAAAGACTTTGCCTGTTACTGATCTGTTCTCTTCACTCGCTTCTGACTAAGCAATGCTAACTTTTGTACAGATCCATTTGATAAAATTAAAAAAAAAAAATTGCTTTTTATCAAGGACGTGTTCTGTTTTCTTTCTGCTTGAGCCTCTTTCTGTGCTGAGACAAAACGGGGAGAACAGCTCGGAAAGAGACGGATTATTTGGAATAAAATATTTTGATTAAGGATTTCTTTTCCTTTTACTCTGATTTTTTTTTTTCCCCCCCTCGCTCCTATTCCCTCTACTTTAACGGTGTCTTGGTATGAGACTTTTTTTTTTTTTAATATATATATTTATTTCATTTTTCCTTCAAGAAGGGTATTTTCATGCCCATAATCCCAAGGATTTCATAGGATTTCAGTGAGACTGCTCACATGAGGACGGGTTTGCCAGGTCAGCCTGCGTGGTTTTGGTCCAAGTCGATTTTCTTCTGTCGAGCACGTAGGAATTTTACAGTAAGAAACTCAGCTTGCTGGTTGGTGAGCCCTTGTAAATACCTCTGAATTATGAGAGCAACGAAATTACATGTTGCATGTCACGGTTGGTTGGGTTGTTTTGTGTTTGTTTTTTAAAAAATACAGCCATCGAGAGTGTTGCATTTGCGACTTTTATTCTGTTTTCTTACACGAACCTGAAGTTGCGGTTTGGTTTCACCAGTTCAGGGAGGAAAGGGGGACTCGGGCTGTGAGGAAAAAGGTCGGGATTTTAGGGAATTTCATCCCCCTCTGCCTGAGAAAAGCGCTGGGGACGTGGGTGTAGGGGCAGCGCTGCACAGAAGGCTCTGAAGTTGTGGTGGGGAGGGGGGGAAAGAAGAAATGTGCTGACAATTAATGAAGCTCCGGCCCATTAACGGAGTCTGGAGGGCAGAATCCCACGGCAAATGTGCCGTTTGCAGGCTCTGCCAGGAGGGGCTGTAAGGGGACACCATTTTCTCCGTGCTGGTTCACAGAACTCCTGGCAAAACGACTTTATATTCCAGCCGGAGCCAAAGCTGCAGCGTAACTCCCTTCCCTCCCTTCCCCTCCTTGCAGTGACACTGCAACTTTCCAGGCTTAATCCTGATCTGGGCTTGAAAAAGAGCTGTGTTTGGGCTCTGCCAGCCCTTCATCTCCAAACTTGCACACTCTGGGGTGGGGGGAAAGGAGCAAGAAGGTGAGGATTTATCTTTGCTTTCGTCTTGATGGTCGATAACGAAGCTTGGGGTGACTTCACTGGGACCTGATAAAGCAGAGTTAAAATATCTGTATGGGGGGGACTTATAAATCACCCCAAATGATGGTATTAAAATTTGCAATTCCCCCTAAATGCTGAAGTTAAAGACTGCACTGAAGCATCCCTGGCTCATGGGGAAGCAGCAGCCAGCAGGATGGATCCCAGTCACGGGCTTGGGGGACATCACTGAGCTCTTCCCTCTCTCCTCTTCCTTCTCCTAGTGTTTCCACCAGCCTTGCCTTCCCAGTGTGGGTTGACATCCAGTCCCTGTCCCATCCAGGAGCTGCAGGGTGTGTGTGGAGCTGTGCTCTCCTCCCTTGGGATCCTGGGACCAGCCTGGCCACGGCACCGAGGCATTGCACATCCAAAATAGGCAGCTTTTAATTCCATTTGCCTTCAGCCACACTCAGCTTTCTATAAACTTTGCAAAAATAAAGTTGGCTTTCACTAATATTTGAAGAAACTAATTAATACTCGATATAGATGTATATTATAATACATAGTAGAGATTTATCACAGAATTGGAGTTGGGAGGGACTCGCAAGGATCATCCAAGTCCAACTCCTTATTATAGATATCACAGATCTGTATTGTGTGGTGACAATAAGCCTTGGAATCACAGAACCCTGGAATGGTTTGGGTTGGAAGGGACCTTAAAGCCCATCCAGTCCCATCCCCAGCATGTGCAGGGACACCTTTCACTATCCCAGGCTGCTCCAAGCCCTGTCCAGCCTGGCCTTGGACACTCCCAGGGATGAATTGTTAGAGATCCCTTTGCAGCTCCTGAAAGCAATTCCAGTTTGAGCAGGGAGTGCTGACTGGTGATTTTTACTGCCCTCCGAGCTGTGGATACTCACTGGGTGTTTTTGGGACACTCACTGGGTGTTTTTGGGACACTCACTGGGTGTTTTTGGGGTCCTCGCTGTGCCTTTGTCGATGAGTAAAATCCGAAGCCATTTCAAACTGGCTGTTCAGGAATCAGGCAGATCAAATGCTCTGACCTGGCTAAACCAGTGCTAAACCCCAAGGGTGTCAGGTGGGCTGGACATCCCCAAGAGCCCCAGCAGCTCATTCCCTGCGCCCCCATTTCCCCCTAAACAAGTCTGGGGAGAAAAACCCCCGGCTGGGTTTCTGCTTTTCCAGGCGCTGGGCTCCTCCCGCCCTCAATGGCACCATTGTGTGCCCGGGCCCGGCGCTGGTGGCTCTTGTGCTGGCGTGAATCTGGAATGTCTCTGCACAAAGTCAATGAGATCAGGTGAAACCAAGGCCGCCTTTTGACCCCTGGCTGTCAACAAAAAAAAAAAAGAAAAAAAAAAAAAAAAAGGCTTCTCGAGATAATTGCGGGAATACACGAGCGATAAAAAGTTCCCCTATTTTATTTTTGGAGCAGAGAAGAATGGATGTCGCTGTTCAGCTGGATGGCTCAGGCAGTGCTGCTTAGGAAGAAAGAGGAAATTAATTTTATAGACCGTATCCACATTCTTTCTGCATGGTGGGAAAAAAAAAAAAAAAAAAAAAGGCCCTTCCCATCCTCCTTATTTTAATTTTTTCCCGGAGTGATATCAAGTTTTTGCTG